CGTTTCCTTTACCATTTTCCAATTTCCATATGTACCAAAATGGCAGCCTCCAGCCAGGAGTGTTGACCATGTGCTTATCCAACAGAAATACAGTCTTTTGTGCCTAAAACAGCCTTGGCGTCCTATATCCATCACGAACCGCCCAGCCCTCGCCCGTGCATCCAAGCACCGTGTTTTCATGGTCCCGCGAGGCGGATACAATAACCAGGTGACGCCAAATTCCAAATATAAACAGTGCGCTGTACGTACGCATTACCCATCCCGCCAGTGAATGGTAAACCCTACATTCAATCATGAGACAGTATTTATCTCGTGCCAAATATCCTGTTACCAAGTCATGTTCGCCATATGCAACTGTTACATTAACTGATTCTAGAACTGTACTCCTGCAACTGTCATTCAAAGTTGAACCTGTGTTGTAAGTTCTAAGCCCGGCAGCCAATCTTTGTCACGTCATCATCAACATATCGACAAGTTACAGATTCAAATATTTTAATTTTGAGGTAAATTATCTGAAGACATGGCGTTACAACCAGATACTAATACTGTTAGATCTTCCAGATCACATAGTCTTAGTCACAGTGAAAGGTCACTTGGCACAAGAAGTAAGTCCTCAAAAATTTCTGTGATATCTGGACTAAGTGAATCTCAGTCTGCAGTGGTAAGACAGCAAAGAACAAGAGCTCAGCTTGACGAATTCGTGCTTAGGATGCAGGAGGATTTCAGAGTTGATGAGCAATTGCAGGCATTAGATGACCAGGCCTATGCTGCACGCTTAGCTGCTGAGGATGAGGTGAATGCCGCTAAGAGACGGACAGAAGAAATAGAGCGTGAGGCTATTCGCCGCAGAGAGGCACTAAATACTCAACTGTCAAGACAGAGACAACTGAGACAAGCTCAACAGAACTTTGCTGAAGCAACCCTAATTGCTACCATGGTAAATGAAGACCCCAACAGCAATGCAGAGAATGTACAACCTCCAGAGGAACTTACGGAACAACCAAGTTTTGATGGTAACATTCAAATACAGTCAGTAACTGGACAGGTCCCACCTACTGCTGACCCTAATGCCATTCAGTCTGGCAATGTAAGTAACACTAATAATACAGAGCAGCTTACAATTCCTGACACCTCCCAAATTTTACCCTCTGGTGACAGTCAAACCCTTGGGAACCAGATACAGCGGGGCCCATATCCATCTGACAGAGTTCATCCTGGTGTACTTCATCAAGGGATCAACCCTTATCCTGGTAACCTGACAACTTGTATGCCAATATACAGACAGAATGACCACTTTCAAGGTCAGATGTTAAACAGTGCCCAACAAATCACAACAAACGACATGTCAAGTACTTTCCCAACAGCCACTGGTGTATTTACACAGCAACCTTCCCTGGTGGGTTATGGTACCGGTATTGGTTCATATCCAAGGAGCAACCCCCAGGTAAGTTTGACACCAACAATGGTAGTGCCTCAGCCATTGTTCTTGGATTCGCAAGCATTTCCGTTACCGAATATGCCGTATCAACAGTCACAGCCACAACAGCATCAAGTGCTCCAACCAGATATTCCAACATTGCCTCCAACCGAACAACCAACACAACCGCCAGCGATTACTGGGATGATACCTCAGGTTGGCACACCTAACCTCACCGAACTGTTGATTTCCTCATCTTATGGCATACCAAGACCAACATTACCCAATTTCACCAGTGGAAGAGAAAAGGACTTTGCCTTGCTTAAGATGGCACTGGATAACCTGGTGAATATTCATCCACACCTTACGGAACAGTACAAATACCAAGTTTTACTTGACAAACTTGGAGGCAGTGCGAAGCGCCTAGCTGAGGCATTTATGCATGATCCCAAACCTTTCACAGCAGCCTTGCAAGCACTAAAGGACAAGTATGGTCAGCCGAGACAACTTGTACAAAGTGAGATTGGTATACTCATGAATATGCCAGCACTAAGATATGGTGACTTTGATGGGTTTGACAGTTTTGCCCTATCAGTCCATTCCCTTGTCGGTATGCTCAAGTCACTTGAGGGAGAGACCGGTTATGAACTGAGATGTGGGTCACATGTTGACCGCCTGATCGGCAAGCTACCCCCAGGTTATCGAGATAGTTTTGTAGAACATTGTATCAACCGTGATATCCTCAAGGCTGACAGTGACCAGACCTACACATTGTGTCATTTGTCAGACTGGCTGCAGACAAAATCACGTGCAAAGCGTATAGCTAACCAGGCCACAGCGCTATACAAAATGGAGAGTACTAAACCTGACAGGAGGTATCCGTCACGAACAAGTCAGAAGGGGTCTGCACCTACGGCTTTATTCTATGCAAGGGAATCCAAACCATTTGAACAGAAACCTGGATCTTCTGCTAGGAGTCACGTGACCAAGCCTTTCTGTCCATACTGTAACAGCAATGAACACTTCCTGAATATATGTCCAGGATTGAAGAAACTAACAGTGAACCAGGTACATGACTGGTTACATGACGGCAAGCGATGTTGGAAATGTGGGCGCACACATCAGCCAGACATGTGCACCCTCAAGAAACCATGTCACATATGTAAGGAAGTGCACTTGACTGTCTTGCATGAGGCTATACAGCATACAGCCTCCAAAGTGTATTCTGTGAAAGTCAGTACAGACAAAGTGTACACTGATCAACCCTCATATCCTCCTAATGTCATGCTAAAGGTTGTCAAAGTGTTGCTTTATGGTGAAAGTGGTATGATGGAGACTCATGCAATCTTGGATGACGGTTCCATGAGAACTATGGTGTTACAATCAACTGTTCATGACCTAAAACTTCAGACAAAGTTGGACAGTATATTGCTTACCACAATCAACAAGGAGCCATTCAGGTGTAATGGACACTCAGTTGACCTGCAAATATCTCCTATCAGCAAACCAAACATCAGGTACAAGATTAAGGGTGCCTTCACTGCAGATAACTTGTGTATGTCCGAGTACACATATCCAGTTGAATCCCTGCAAAGGCGTTGGCCGCATTTGCAAAAGATACCGATACCTAACATTGATGGAGCTCGGCCAACTATTCTCATTGGAGCGGACAATGCCCATCTCATTCTTCCCAATGAACCAGTTCAGTTTGGACCCATCAATGCGCCTATTGCAGTGTCTACCAAACTTGGTTGGTCCCTCCAGGGTTTATCTAGTGAATCTGGACCAGAGAACACCAAGTGTATGCTCATACACAGCACCAATAATTCAGATCTTGTTGAGAGCATTGAGCGATTGTGGCAAATCGACACTTTGCCTTTCACCGAGAAACATGTGACACACTCCAAGCAGGATAAACAGGCAATTGAGACTCTAGAATCTGAAACTGTCAGGATAGATGTCGATGGTGTTAGTCACTATGCCACCCCACTGTTACGCACACAGGATGGAACCTGCTTCAAAACAGATCAACAAATGGTTATGCCTACACTCAGGCGCACTGAAAGGCGACTAAGAGATCGTCCGGACCTTTCAAGAATCCACAATGACAAAATCAAGAAGCTAGTTGAGGCAGGATATGTAAAAAAACTCACCAAGGAGGAAGTGGAGAAAGCAGAAGAATCCTGGTATTTTCCTCACCACATTGTTGAACACAATGGGAAGTTTCGCCTGGTATTTAACTGCTCCTTCGAGCACAACGGCCAAATCTTGAACAAACACCTTCTGCCTGGGCCAACAGTCGGATCATCACTGCTGGGTGTATTCCTTCGGTTCCGGCAACATGCAGTTGCTATATCAGGAGACATAAAAGCCATGTTCCATCAAGTAAGACTGCTTTCTCATGACAAACCTCTTCTGCGTTTCATTTGGCGAAACATGGAACATGATCGCCCTCCAGATGTGTACGAATGGCAAGTCCTACCATTCGGCACCACCTGCTCGCCATGTTGTGCCAGTTATGCTTTATGGAAACATGTCTCGGATCACAAAGCTGGCAATGAAGAAGTACTCAAATCTGTAGAAGAATCATTCTATGTTGACAATTGCTTGCATAGCCTACCTACAGCAACAGAAGCCAAGGAACTTGTACGGAAAATGAGAGACTTGCTTGCACAAGGTGGTTTCAACATTAGGCAGTGGACCAGCAATATTCCATCCGTTGTGGCAGACCTTCCGTCCGACGCTAGATCGGAAAATACAGAACTTTGGCTTACCTTCGGCCAGGGTGACTCCCTTGAGCCAGCCCTAGGCTTGCGTTGGAACTGTGAATCTGATGAGCTCACCTACAAACACAGAACCATAGAGTATGAAAAGCTTACTATGAGAGTGATCTACAGGGTTCTTGCTAGTCAGTATGATCCCATCGGCTACTTGGCACCATTCCTTGCACAAGCCAAAATTATAGTACAGGACTTGTGGAAGTCAAAGAGAAACTGGAATGACCCTATAGAAAAGGGGGACATCTGTGAAAGATGGCTGACCTGGGAAAAGGAGCTAGAAGAAATCCCGATGGTCACTCTACCAAGGTGTTACACACCCCATAGTGTGGACTCTGGAAGTGCAGACCGACAACTACACATCTTTTGTGATGCTTCTGAAAGAGTGTATGGTTCAGTAGCATACTTGCGCACAGCAGACGAAGGAGCAAACATCTATGTCAGTTTCCTTATGGCGCGATCAAAGGTTTCCCCAAAGAAACAACTGTCTATGCCACGCCTAGAACTATGTGCAGCCCTCACTGGTGCTCAGCTAGCTGATGTGTTGTGCAAGGAATTAACCTTACCAATCCAGCCAGAAAGTGATATTGTGGAGTGACTCTACTACTGTACTTGTTTGGCTGAAGTCAGAATCATGCAGATACAAGGTATTCGTTGGAACACGAGTATCTGAAATCCAGAATCTCACAGATGTACAGAACTGGCGATATGTTGACACACAGAGAAATCCTGCTGATGACATTACTCGAGGCAAACTGCTCAGAGAACTCAGCAAGGAATCGCGGTGGAAAGATGGGCCAGATTTCATGCACCAGACACCTGATCATTGGCCAGTTACCCCAGTGACAATAGACTCTAACAATACAGAGATAAAGAAATCTGTGATGTGTGGCACAATTGTTGTGAATACACCTCAGCTGCCAGATGCAGAACAGTACACTTCTTGGAAAGTGTATGTGGCTGATGTTAAAGAGTCCTTTGATGGGGCGGCCTTCCTGGAAAATGCTCAACCCCTGACCGCTGAACGGTTTGAACAAATAGAGAACCATCTCTATCAACTAGTGCAGATAGAATCATTCCCCCAGGAATTCACAGCACTAAAATCAGGTAAACGATTGCCTCCAGACAGCAGGCTCCTACAGCTTGACCCTATCTATGATGCAGAATCAGATCTGATCAGAGTAGGAGGACGCTTACAGAGAGCTGAATCTCTAAATACAGGCGTCAAACATCCAATTCTTCTTGACCCACAGCATGTTATAACAAAGTTGATCATCCGGGATCAAGATGAGAAGCTCTTACACTATGGTCAGGAGCGTATACTCGCAGAGATAAGACGCAGATTTTGGATATTGAGGGGACGAGAAGCGATTCGACGCCATCAGCGTCAGTGTTCCACCTGTCAGAAATGGCGCTCAAACCCGAGGACACAGAAAATGTCTGACTTGCCACCACCACGTCTGCGACTTTTCAAACCACCATTCTTCTCAACAGGAGTTGATTGCTTCGGACCAATGCATGTGAAGGTTGGACGTCGCTCAGAGAAACGATGGGGTTTGATATTTAAATGTATGACCACCCGTGCGGTGCATTTAGACATACTCAGGAGCATGGACTCGGATGCATTCCTCATGGCATTTCGCCGCTTCGCTTCACTGAGAGGCAAACCTTACGAACTCATCTCAGACCAAGGTTCCAATTTCCGAGGGGCTAAAACAGAGTTGCAGGAGGCACTTGCAAGTATGGAACCAGACCTTGCTGAACAACTGGCTCGCCATAAGGTCAGATTTGTGTTCAATCCTCCTCATGCACCACACTTCGGAGGTGTTTGGGAAAGAGAGATTAAATCTGTGAAATATGGCCTCCGAGTGGCACTAGGAGATCAGACAGTGACAGAACCTGTGTTACGTACCATTCTAGCGGAGGTGGCAGGGATTCTGAATTCTAAGCCATTAGCCTACGTTTCATCAGATGTCAGAGATGTGGACCCAGTTACACCAAACATCCTGCTGATTGGCCGCCATGATGCTTCTCTTCCACAAGTCGTCTATCCAGCTGATGAACTATTAAGCAGACGCAGATGGCGCCACAGTCAAGTTCTGGCCGACCACTTTTGGGTACACTTTGTCAAATATTATCTTCCTGATATGCAGCTGCGCACAAAATGGCAGAAAGAAAGACAAAACTTGAAGATGAATGACGTTGTCATGATAGTTGATCCACAGCTCTTAAGAGCTCAGTGGCCTGTTGGTAGAGTCACTAAAACCTACCCCGGAACAGATGGATGTGTTCGCACTGCCACTGTCAGTGTGAAAGACAAGGAGTACACCAGACCAATCACAAGACTCATCCCACTACCTGAATGTGCGGATGACGATAAGTGACTCTAGTTCCAGTGTGGAAAGACTTTCTTCAGATGTTGACAAATTTAGTGCCTAAATTTGGGGGCGGCCGTGTCAGAAAGCCTTTTGAGCCCAAATGTCTATTATTTCGTTTCGTTGTTTAATTCCACTTTTGTTATATTTGATTTCGTTTCCTTTACCATTTTCCAATTTCCATATGTACCAAAATGGCAGCCTCCAGCCAGGAGTGTTGACCATGTGCTTATCCAACAGAAATACAGTCTTTTGTGCCTAAAACAGCCTTGGCGTCCTATATCCATCACGAACCGCCCAGCCCTCGCCCGTGCATCCAAGCACCGTGTTTTCAGCGGTGAGGTGGACACACTTTGAACTGTTGCAGTACCAGCGACGCCAAGATCCTTATGCCAGAAATCATTTGACGCCAAATGACATAGAAATACACTTTCGTTCAGAATTTATTTTTTAAGTTGGTCTGACCCTGTTGCAAGTGCAAACATAGTAATCTTCTGACAAATGATGTAAATCGTTTTTACTTCCTTAAATGGATCCTACTTTTTGACTTGAGTGGAAATACGCTTGCTGAACACGTGTTGGTTTTATTACATGAATGACACCTATGTTAAAGTTTACCACATATATCCAAGTATTTCAGAAATGTGAGGACAGTGGACGCCTGCCTTATAAAGAAAAAACTGTCGTCTAGAAATGTTTGTTTGAACTGAATTTTCTAGACATACAACGCCTTGTATATAATTACAATAAAAACATACATGTTGCCTAAGATATCGTTTGCTGCGTAAATATACGCCATCAAGTTGTAGAGACAAATGTAACAAATTCCTGGTTAATTTGTATCAAATATTTATTAAGTAGTAAAATGATACGTTTATCCTAAAATAACTCCATACCAAACCTTTACAAAAGTCATAATTCTTTTCTGTGGTATTCTTACTAATATAACAGTAAAAGGAATACGCCTTGATTCCTCGGAGAGATCCAGATCTCTGAATAATATGTGCCAATATGTAACCTGCTATCCAAGTTTCGAACTATCGATATCTCGAAGGATGGTTTGATTTAAAGAAACATCGACATCGAATGTTCACTTTGATCTTTATAAAATCTTCAAAACAGAAAATCTACCAAAGTCAGAAAAAGACAGCATTGGTTCCGTTCTGAGCTGCAGGTGTCCAGCGGTTCCACTCCAAAAATTTGGCATCAGTATCCACAGACTGCAATGAAACTTTTCACGACTAGTAATGACAAATCTCATCGCGAACAGTGCGTCCCGCTTCCACGGTAATGTAGCAAGCTGTAAAACATAACAGTAAATCATCGTAATATAACAGTAAACGGGGCGATATTGCGTATACACAGAACGTGCAAATGTCGACAAGAAAGCAGACAAATGGTAAAGGTTAACTGCCCAAAGTTACCGTCATGTTTATACGAGGGGTAGAGGCAGACAACACTTGAAGGCAGTTTCCCTGCCATTAGTAGGGTCAACAGTTATAAACTTAAACTAAGGGTGTGATCCTTGGGCAATATTTCGCGTAATTAGATCAACGCAACTACTTTCCTTGCAGCTAGTGTTTGGATCATCATTCTAGCGAGGCGTACTCCGTTGGCGGGTGTTCAACACCTAGACTATATGGGCACTTGATAGATTGTAACTTGTTACTCAGATAGGGATCTTGGATCGTAGAGATAAAACAATAAAATATTGAGGTTCGTACCGCCACAGGCCTTTTCGAAGCATCTCCTCGCCTGGAGCAAACTGATAGTGTTAATAACTCGAAGGCATTAAAAAGTTATCTTTTCTAAATAAGTAAATGATACGTAAGATAGACGGTTCGTGTGTGCGAGCGCGTGCGTGTGTATTGATGAGTGTAGTACGCGCGAATCGACGTTCGTGAGAGTTGTAATATGGGCATTGCAATCGTATAGTTCTGTTCGTGACGCTGTAATCAGTTAGTTGTCATATCCCCTATATCCGCCGCCGACAGTTATCTTCGAGACAACCACAGTCTACAGACACCGTATGAATTTTACCATCAGTTCTGAGATTAAATCAAATTAATCATTCTTTCTTATATCTGTTCCATGAGGTACAAGTTCGTGACAACGACGATCTATTTTCCACATCTGGGCAGCACTATTTCCCTCGCGAACAATCCTCATCCTACTCAGACTATCAACCTACCGGAACAGGCTAAATGATTTGTGATGTCAATAAAATATTAACCAAATTAAGACCGCTAATTAATTTTAATACACCAATGTTCTCACAAGTCATTATTTCTTTTCCCCTGTACACTTTATGAAAGCCCCGCTGTGCTGAATTCCAGATTTTAATATCATCAATATTCACAGACATCAGTCCGGTTGACGGAATCCGGATAAATATGGTATCGCAGCGTTAACAAGCATGTCATAGACAGACTGACCCTACATTGTTAAAGCCGGAAGGACCGGGTGTGTATATTTGAACAAGTAGATAGGGTCAATTACGTGTGGGCAAGAATTACGAGGTTGAGTGTGTGTTTAGACTAGGCTTTAGTGGGTAAAGATTGCAATTTGTTCGTCTGGATTACAGTACAATAATCAGCTTGGATCATTTAGATTACGTGGATCTTTTTATGATCCAAGTCGCTGTGGAGTTTACAGTATAATTGTCAACTTGACAATGGTAGCACAGTATAGATTAATCACTCATATGGTGACATGGTCTCCTTCGGGAAGTATCATCTTGACACAGCAAATTAACTGATAATGAAAAAAGTAGAATTCTGCTAAAATAAGTGCATCGATTCATGAAAAATTCATTCGTATTGCAAGTATTATAATAATATTTTGATCTTTTCAAAATATAAAAATCCTTTAACATAAAGTTAGTATGTGCATCCCAATACACCATGTATCAGTCGAAGTAGCCTATCATTGTTGGAAACTTTTCGAAATTTAAGAAAGCGTTTTAAACAATGTGTATACATGTTACAGTCAATGTGTGAAATCAGTGTAAATATATCATTCATTTTACCAAAACATTCCGTCAGGTTACTAAAAGTTATTAAGAAGTTCAAAAGGGCTTATAAAATCACAATAGACAAATTATGCTAGGATTTGGATAAAAATAATATATGTACATTAGCTTTCGCTTTCTTTTGATCTTATCATTTTCAGGCACTGGGTGATGAAATAGAGCATAAAGATGTTTGGAATTCGTTATCTTAATATAATAAATAGAAAAGTGATTGTGAAATATCTCAAATATTTTGGCGTTTTGTAAATTGCCTAAGTGAAATTTCAGTCATTTAACACATTGACTGGATCATATATCCTTACTTCCTTATACATCATGTGTCAGTCGATTTTTTAACGTACGAAACAGGATGCCATGTTTGTAAAGTTCTAGTATCCTTCATTCTAATATGTCATGCATCAATCGGATATTCAATGTTTAAAATTTTATATCAGAATCAGGATACAGCGAAGGCACATCCCTCCAAGACAATGATCTTCGCCAATACCATCCTTTCCAACCAAAACGAACTGAACCGAACACGCCCACCACTCGCAACATTCCTCTCGTCGCGGTTTAGCTGGGAGTATCGATGCTGGCTGTAACCACATCACTCTGTCGACATATTAGCCACCGCAGTGACTACAAATCTACTTCCGTCGCTTGAAATCGTTGTAGCAATTGAGGTATCGATCTCACGCGTGAAGAGCTCTTTGTACGAGACTCCGCGAGATTGTGCGTGGAACCGATACACGGCCGCTTACCAGCCATTCAAAGATAACGGGATCAGGCGTGCTTGTTTCTGAGCCACGTACAAATTATAAATGGTAGCGATGTTTGCTATTTTCTCAACGATTGTTATTAGAGATGACGTGCCATGAAAATGAACGCTGTGAAATCATGCAGTTTAAAAACAAAGATATCAGAGCGATGCTGCAAAAATCACGTCTCTGATTATTGTCTAATAACTAATAATACTAGTGCTTTTCTTGAAGTTAAAAACGGATTTTATATTTTACAAAAACATTTGAAATATACACCCGATATCATTACTTTAGATTTATAAAAGTATATAAAATTAGTTGTAATAATACGAATAAAAATTGTAACATACAAGTGTGAAAAACTACCGAGGATATGTCAATAAGCAATTTCTTCCCTCTGTTTATAAAAAAAGGAAGGGTATAGTTGTTTATCAACTTACAAAATAAATTTATGAACCTGCGCCAATGCACACTTTAATCGCAATGCGTGACTCTCTTTGAAGTGATTGCGGAATTTAAACACTACATAACGGTCGTAAATAAATTCCAAACATCGTCTAAAATCTGAATTCGAAATTATCTGTCCATCAGCCATTAAGGCGAAAATGTTCCTATCGCGCTACAAAGTCAATGTATGACTTATTGCCCAACAACTAACTCACGAGATGTCAATAAACATATTTCTTGTCAGGAACATATCCCTATAAGGCTTTAACTTAGTCCAGTAAAATGCGTCGCCTGCTCGACCGCACCACCGAGACATTAACTCTCGAAGCACCGTTGGTCCTACCCCTGGGGCGAGGATAATACTAGCTTGAATGTTAGCCTCTATTATACAAGACTTCAAAGGACCAGTAATTTGTTCGGCATATTTTGTAACGGTGCTTCACTAAGTAAAAGTACAGTTTCCTCCGCGTGTGGTATTTAAACATAAAATTGATACTCTGCACGCGCTTGTCGCTTGCCTGTCTGCGTGCTGGGGGAAAATTGCAGGAAATGCGGAGTTGTAAGCGGCCTCTTCACTAGAGACTTAGGTAACATGAAATATGGTGTATCTGATAAATGGACGCCACACCCCTTTCAAGACCGGAAAAAGACATCTAATTTCTTAAATATAGCACAGCAGATACTTACAATTAGTGTTATGATACTGCTTATTTTCGTAATGGGAGGCCTTAATGGTTCAGCTATCTTGTAAAAAAATCGTTGTATGTGGAGTGATAACTCCTATATCA